ATGCCACGTAACATATAAGTCAGATGGTATTACTGAACGGCTCCTATTTTTAACAATGTATTTTCTACAAAAGACAGACTTTCCCCCCAAAATGGATTTGAAGTATATACATGCTAGACAAAACCAGAACTTCGTGGGGAGGGCGGGGTAGAAATTGAATAAATAAATAAATAAATAAATAAATGATTTATGAAAAGTGCTTCCACAAGATGTGGTGAAGAACAATGGTTTAGGAGGCTTTCAAAGGCAAAGGAGGAGAGGATGATGTGGCTAGTAGCCACACTAGCTATAGGTTTAGTGGCAGTCTGCTTCTGAATGCTAGTTGCTGGGGAATCCACAACAGAAATGGGCTTCCATAAGGATGAGGCTCCGCACCCTCAGAAAACAGGATGCTACATCAGGCTATTTGGTCTGGTGCTTTTTAGATGTTTACATACTCTTATTGCTGTGTGAATTTAATCAAACCACTCACATGGTTTAGAAATCAAATGTAAAAGTTTCAGAAGTTGAATGACAAACAGAAATGTAAGATTATACTCAGAAAAAACGGGGTGTAGCAGCCTGATTAGCCCAGTTTGGTCTGAACTCATGGAGGAGAGGTTGCTGTGGCTAGTAAACACACTAGCTACAGGTTTAGAGGCAGTCTGCTTCATGGTCAGTATTTGGATGGAAGACCACAAAGAAAGACTGAGGCTGATACATACATGAAGGTAATGGCAAACCACCACTATTCATCTCATGCTTGGAATGCCCATTTGTGGGTGTACTTCACACAGTATAACATATGAGAGTCTTTCCTGCAAGGTGGTAGTGTGTAAAGAATAATTTTCACTATGATCTTTCAAACAACAATGTACGTTGCCAGTCTCTATGTGGGGCCTGAAGCTCTCCTGGAATTACAGTTACTCTCCAGGCCACAGATACCAGCTTCCTTGGAGGAAATGGCAGTTTTGGAGGGAGGACCCCATGGCATCACACCTTTGCTGAGTTTCCTTGCCTCCCCAAACTCTACTCTTTCCAGGCCACACCTCTAAATCTCCAGGAATTTCCCAAATCAGAGTTGGCAACCCTAGTTCAAACAAACACACCTCTGCAACAGCAGATGGCTATGGGTTAAATGTCTTGTAAAGGCTCCCTGCCATCTATGCAGGCTGCATGGTACAGACTTCTGCCTGCCCCCAATAAAAAGCAACAACAGCTATTTAAAAGCCCCTAAATGACTGGGAAGAGGGCTGCTGCTGTTCTTTTTAATGCAGATCCCAGAGGTTCTGTGTTATCAGGTGGCTAGAAATTGCAAAGAGCACAACCCATTTATACCCAGTTATTAATAGCAGTCCATATAGCTAAGCGTGTTCTGTCATGAACAGCGTATAATAAACACATGTGCATGTGTTAAGCTGCTCTGCTTTACAGCTTTTCTTCTGTGTGAATGCCATGATTTCCATTTCTATTTTACTGTCTTGAATTGCCCCACAGGCAGCAAAGGAATAGAAAGGGCTTGTCCAGAAGTGGGCAAACAGAGATTATCTGAGGAGATGAAATACTGCTCTGTTTGTCTGAAGTGATATTATAGAGTATAAAATAAGGCTGCAGGGAACAGTTTAAGGCTGAGACTTTTTCTCAAGCAATTCAGAATCAACTGACTGAAATACACCAGCTGCCGTAGGCTGAAGTGCAGAGAGTTTATTACAGTTACAGAAGTTAGTTTATCCTGTTGCAATTAACTCAGGAGAATTCCGGTTTTTGTATTTTCATTAGACTTTTACCAGCTACCACTGGAAGAATGCCTGGCACCGTTGGATTTATACTCCCCCAGTGACAATTTGGAGGGGAAAAAGGTTGGTTAGTTAGCCTTGGAAGGTCCAGTTGTAGCTCCGAGCATTAAAACAAAGAATTAACTTTAAAGAAACAACTTATTTCCACGAAAAGAACTGTTGATAATCATATATTTTATCTACGTTCCAGAATAACTGGGAAGGTCAAAATCATTTATATGGCCACTTCACCACAGGAAGTTGAGGATCTTCATTTGAACCATGGGTCACTGAGTTTTGGTCTAGAAACCTATTTTGAATGTCCAAACACAGCCATGTAATTTGTGAAGTAGTAATTAAAGGGGCTTCCTCTAAATCAGGAAATCATTTTGATAAAGGTAACAGGGCTGTATTATAACAACATGTCCAGGGAGGAGCTTTTATAAAAGGAACAAGACTGTGGACTATACCACTGTGTATATAATGTAATAATAATAACAGTAGAAGAAGAAAAAACAAACCCTGAATGACTTCACCCAGAAAAGCAAAGAAAACCTTCTAGCTGAAGTATCCAAGGCAGAGTTATTTAAGGTTACAGAAACAAAAAAAGATTTCAATCAAAACTCACTTTAACAACTGGAAATTGCATGGGCAATAGCTGAAGACATAGAGAACAAAGTTGATAGTGAAAATACCTGAAAGTGGCTCCAAAATGGGCACTTGAAGAAAGAAACGGAAGGACTCATTCTACCTCTTGAACCAAACCCCAAACCAAACCAAAGCCCCACACGAACTGAGCTGGTCCAGTGAGTTCAGATCCTCCCTTCTCCTGGCCATGGCAAGCAGAGACTGCCCTGAAAGGGACTTCCCTTCCACCTTTCTCCCAGCTGCAGGAGAAATCATTCTGTGATTCTCTTGTTTTTGCTTACAGGTTTAAATGGCTGGCAGCCATTTCACCAGTTGGTTTTGCTTCCCCCTTCAAGGGGGGGGGGGAGTGAAACTGAAGGGTTTAATGTCCACTAGCCATTTAAACATAACAGCTGACTGGGTCTGCTGGCCAGCTGTTGGATTTAAATGGCTGGCAGCCATTTAATCATTTGGTTTCACTTTCCCCCCTTTGAAAGGGGGGAGCAAAACCAAGAGATTTAATTGTTTGCAGCTAATTAAAGACAAGGGGGGGGGACAAAATTTGACCTGGAATATACTGAAGATGCTACAAGGATCAAGCTACAACAGATAAAATATAATCAAAATAAATATTTATTATGTGGTGTACACAATGGTAAAATTAAAAACATAGGGCCTGAAATCCAAGCAATCTTTATATATCCTCTTCCCAATGTTGTTTAACAACTTTATGCACCCCCTTGCTCAGCTGGTGTGGGATTATGGGCTTGGGTGTCACCAGTATGCTGATGACACCCAGCTCTATCTGCTGATGAGTGGCCAGCCAGAGGCTGCCCCAGAAAATCTGACCAGGGTTTTGGAGGCCATGGTTGGTTGGTTAAAGCAGAGCAGGCTGAAACTAAATCCATCAAAGATGGAGGTCCTGTGGCTCAGTGGGGGGGGGGTCGGGAGGGGTTGCCAACTCCCTTTCTTGATGGGGTGCTAACAGCTAGCCATCTGTCAGGGCTTTTGGAGTGATCCTGAATGCTTTTCTTTCAATGGAGACCCAGGTCACAAAGATGGTTAAGCTGGCATTTTACTATCTTTGCCAGGTTAAGCAGTTGGCTCCATACCTGTCGCCCTCTGACCTAGCCATGGTGATCCATGCAACAGTCATCTCCAGGTTCGATTACTTTAACTTGCTTTATGCAGGGCTTCTCTTGAGGTTGATTCAGAAAATGCAACTGGTTTAGAATGCAGCTGCAAGGGTTCTGACAGGAACGCCTTTTAGAGCGCACATCCAACCAGTGCTCTATCAGCTGACTGGCCCCAGATTGAAGACCAGATCAAATTCAAGGTTTTGGTGTTAACCTTTAAAGCCCTTAACAGTCAGGGACCAGCATGCCTTCGGGACTGCCTCTCCTGGTACGTCCCCCTCAGAGCATTATGCTTGAGTGGCCAAAATCTACTGGTGGTCCCCAGCCCAAAGAGCATTTGGTTGTCCTCAACCAAAGCCAGGGCCTTTTCAGCCCTGGCCCCAGCATAGTGGAACACTCTTCTAAGAGAGATAAAGGCCCTGCGGGATTTGGTACAATTCCACAGGGCCTGCAAAACAGTTTTTCTGCCAGGCCTATGGTTGAGGACACTGATGGGCTCCTTGTCAATAGGCTTATCTAGTTTTTGGCCTCCCCCTCCTATCCGCCTATCTCCCCCCTGCTCCCCCTCTTTTCCCCTTCTATCAGATGCCTGTACACTGCCCTCTATAGGAGTTTTTACACCATCTTAAAACTGTATAGTAGCTTTTTTAATGATTTTATTGTATTTATTGAATGTGATTTTTTTTTTAATGTTGGAAAGTTTTTATAATGTATATTTTATAAATTATCACCCAATCTGAACTAGTTTCGTGGAGAGCAGGACATAAATTGAATTTAAAAATATGCTGTAATATTTTCCAAATACAGATGATGAACATGTCAATTGACCAACACAAGACCATGCATGTTTCAGCCTCAGGGGCTTACCACAGTGGTCAATAATACACAC